ATGGGTGGGAAACTCATCAAGGAGAGAAGCAACTCAGAACTAAGGAGAAATTTACTTAATAGTGAGAACAATTAACCAGTGGAACCACTTGCCTCCAGAAGCTGTGAATGCTCCAACACTGGAGGTTTTAAAGAAGAGATTGGACAGCCATTTGTCTGAAGCGGTGGTAGGGATTCCTGCCTAGGCAGGGGGTTGGACTAGAAGACCTCCAAGGTCCCTTCCACCTTCTATTCTGTTCTACTCTATTCTATTCTCTCTTCTCTAATTCTATTCTATTTTATTCTCTAATTCTATTCTCTAATTCTATTCTCTAATTCTATTCTATTTTATTCTCTAATTCTATTTTATTCTCTAATTCTATTTTATTCTATTTTCTTATTCTATTCTCTATTCTATTCTCTAATTCTATTCTATTTTCTTATTCTCTATTCTATTCTCTAATTCTATTCTATTCTATTTTCTTATTCTCTATTCTATTCTCTAATTCTATTCTACTCTATTCTATTCTCTAATTCTCTTCTCTTCTCTTCTCTTCTCTTCTCTTCTCTTCTCTCTTCTCTAATTCTATTCTATTTTATTCTCTAATTCTATTCTATTCTCTAATTCTATTCTATTTTCTTATTCTCTATTCTATTCTCTAATTCTATTCTATTATCTAATTTTATTATATTCTCTAATTCTATTCTACTCTTCTATTCTTTTGTATTCTATTCTATTCTGTTCACTCTGTATTCTCATGATAACAGAATAGCAGAGTTGGATGGGACCTTGGAGGTCTTCTAGTCCAATTCCCTGTTCAAACAGGAAACCTTATTCAGGTAGTCCTTGACTTACAGAAGATAAGTCTTAAGTGCTGTTGTTTTGCTACAGTAGTTCATTTAGCGACCGTTGGAAGTTATAACGTCCCTGAAAAAAAAGTGACTTATGACAATTTTTCACATTTACGACCCTTACAGCATTTTCCCCCATAGTCACGTGATCGAAGTTCAGACACTTGGTAATTGACTCTTACTTACGACGGTCGCAGCGTCCCTGGGGTCACGTGATCCCCTTTTGCGACCTTCTGACAAAGCAAAGTCAATGGGGAAGCCGGATTCACTTAACAACCGGGCTACTAACTTTACATCTGCAATGATCCACTTAACAACGATGGCAAGGAAGGTCATAAAAATGGGGGCAAACTCACTTCACCCCTGTCTGCATTAGCAGCAAAAATTCCGGGCTCAGTTGTGGTCGTAAGTCGAGGCCTACCTGTATTTTCACATCTGGTGTATGGATTCTGCCAGCGGTTTTCCTCATTTCCTCGCCACGATACAATAATTACAGATTATAAGAGGATTTCCCTCTTGACTCGCCCTGGAGAGCTTTTTCAAGATCTCTCCTTGACCTCACTTTGGTTTTGGAGAAGGTCTTGGCCTTTTCGAGATCTTTCCCGAAAGACCACATTGGGAATGTTGTAACCAGTTTTGGTTGCCACGATACAGAAAAGATGCTGAGACTCTAGAACCGTGATGGCGAACCTATGGCACGCGAGCCGCAGGCAAACTTACCCCATTGTGCATGCGCACCCCTCACAGCTGATTTTCGGACTCCCAGAGGCTTGAGGAAAGTCTTTGCAAGCCGAAAAATAGGCCCGTTTCGCCACTTCCGGTATTTCCGGAAATACCGGAAGTGATGAAACAGGCCCATTTTTCGGCCTGCAAAACCTGCAGAAGCTTCCCTCAAGCCTCTGGGAGGCTGAAAAAGGCCTCAAACGGGCCCAAAATCAGCTGGGAGTCTCAGTGCAGGTAAGGGGATGGCTGGTGGGGGTACACATTGCCTTCTGGTACTTGAAAGCTAGCACACAAGCATGCGCACAATTTTGGGCACAGAAGCCCCAAAAGGTTAGCCACCACTGCTCTAGAAAGAGTGCAGAGAAGAGCAACAAAAGAGGATTGGGGGCTGGAGGAGGAAACAAATGAAGAACGGCTGCAGGAATTGCGCATATCTGGTTTAATGAAAAGAATTGTTTTGGAAGATGGACTTTGCTTTTTTTCTTTTTAAATGGATTTTCATCACTTGGAAGCCTGACAGTAGGGATGGCATGATATCAGTCTTCCAATAACTAAGGCAAGGGTCTTCAAACATGGCAAGCTTAAGACTCGTGGACTTCAACTCCCAGAATTCCTCAGCTAACACGACAGGAGGAAGAATTCTGGGAGTTGAAGTCCACAAGTCTTAAATAGAATTCTTTTATTATTGGCCAAGTGTGATTGGATACACAAGGAATTTGTCTTGGTGCAAATGTAAATAAAAGATGTGTAAATAAAAGATACATTCGTCCAGGGTCAAGAATCATCAGGTGCAACACTTAATAATAGTCCAAGGGTACAATAAGCCATCAAATCATTCTAGGAAACAGTCAATATAAATCGTAAGGATGCAAGCAACCAAGTTTGAAGACCCCTGATCTATCTAAGGGGCTGCTCCAGAAAGGAAGGGGTCAACCTATTTTCCAAAGCACCTGAAAACAGGACAAGAAGCAAAGGAGGGAAACTGATCCAGGAGAGGAGCAACTTGGAATTAAGGAGAAATTTCCTGACAGTGAGAACAATTGAGCAGTGGCCACCAAAGTTGTAAATGCTCCAACACTCAGGCTAGCGAGAAGAGATCGGACAGCCATTTGTCTGAAACGGTATAGTTTCCTGCCTGAGCAGAGGGTTGGACTAGAAGACCTCCAAGGCCCCTTCCAACTCTGTTAGTCTGCTTCCTGCCAGAGCAGTGCCGTTAGGCACAACAAATCAGGTCAGCATGTGAAGGTCCAATAAAACTGATTTATTGCTACTCGGGCGTATGCACAGGACTATTCTCAACTGAGGATTAGCCCCTTGCTTGAGTTAGATGAGGATCAACAGAATTCATGGGGGGAGCTGGGCTTGGTTTGCTTGTGACTACGTAGAGATTCTAGACTGATTCCTCTTTTAGCACCGCCTCCAGTTTTTGTCACTCCTGCAAAAAAGCCGAGCAGACTCAACCATGGCGGAAGATGACTTCCTCTCCTTTGAACTAGTTTTGGTTTTGGTCCTGGGAGATGATTCCTGGTCTTAGACCCAGGACCTCATGTTCAGGTGTCCCTGTGCTTTCTTCTCTTCCCAGGTGATTCCAATGCTCCCCCAACTGCTGTGTGAGGAACTCTGCAGCCTCAATCCCATGACAGACAGGCTGACCTTCTCCGTCATTTGGAAGTTGTCTCCACAAGGAAAGGTGAGCCTGAATTTCTTGGTAACACGTCTTTTTTTGTGTGTGTGTCCTGTGCCAAGCGCTTGAGCTACAAGCGTACTCCATAATTCTCAGGCCTTACAGCTACAGTCTCCTCATGCTTTACAGAGGGATACAGTCAAGATCAAGGGAGGTACTAATACCGCTCTATAAAGCCTTAGTAAGGCCACACCTAGAGTACGGCATCCAGTTTTGATCCCCACACTAATTAAAAAAGATGTTGAGACTCTAGAAAAAGTGCAGAGAAGAGCAACCAGGAGGATTAGGGGACTGGAGACTAAAACATATGATGGACGGTTGCAGGAACTGGACCTGACTAGTCTAGGGAAGAGAAGGACCAGGGGAGACAGGAGAGCATCTTCCAATATTTGAGGGGATGCCCCAGAGAGGAGGAGGGGGTCAAGCTATTCTCCAAAGCACCCGAAGGCCAGACAAAGAACAATGGATGGAAACTGACCAAGGAGAGATTCAACCTGGAAATAAGGAGAAACTTTCTGACAGGGAGAACAATCAATCCACGGAACAGAAGTTTCCTTCAGTAGTTGTGGGAGTGCCATAATTTGAGACTTTCAAGAAGAGACTGGACTGCCATCTGTCAGAAATGGTGTAGGGCAGGGTCTCCTGCTTGGGAAGGGGGTTGGACTAGAGGACCTTCACGGTCCCTTCCAACTCTGATTATCTGTTATCTGATTAGATTCCACCCATTGCTTCTTGTCCTGCCTTCTGGTGTTTTGGAGAATAACTTGATAACCCTCCTCTCTGAGGTAGCCCCTCACATATTGGAAGGCTGTTATCACGTTACCTCAAATTTTCATTAGACCAGCCAGGCCCAGTTCCTGCAACCGTTCTTCATATGTTTTAGCCTCCGGTCCCTTAATCCTCCTGGTTGCTCTTCTCTGCACTCTTTCTAGAGGAATAAGTTTCCGGAGAAATAAGTAGCTATGTCTGAAGAGACATTTTTGGCTCCGGATTCCTCCCTGTTTGGGAAGTCCAGTCGACCTGCACAGAACCATCTGTTCCAAGCCAACTGGTTTCTGGGTGAGATACTTCCAATCCACACCCCGAGGTTATCCCATCAAGCTGAAGGCCAGGACTTCAAGAGGCCACTTCTCCTCGTTGTCCCTTCTCAGCGACAAACCTCCAATTTCCTAGCTTTCCTAATCAGCAGCAGAAGAAGAAGCTTTCCGATGTCTCTGAATCATATCCCTCTAGTCTAGTCCATAACCTTGGGGGGGGAGTGTTTTCCATCCCTCTCCATTTCTGGCTGCTCCATCGAGGTTACCTGATTTGAACCCAGACCTCCACCGAGGTCAAGTTGAGGTGGAGCTGCATTGCCCAATGCTTTT